GGCAATTCAGTTAAGGATTGTCCATCCAGAGAAGGGTGGTTATTTAGCATTTTATTTATGAAAGGTGTAATCCTGTACCAGTTTAGATAGAAAAAGATCTACAACTCCCAGCATAACCCAGCCAGCTATGTAGGCCATTTTCCCTTTCTAAACTTGCATACAATTATGTTTTAAATATACTAAGATGCCTAAAATGTGGTACAATTTATAAAAAACTCAGCCAGCTAAAAAACAAAACTGTAAACATATCTCTATTTCTATCCCAGCAAATTGCAATGTATGGCTGTGAAAGCTGGACCATAAGGAAGGCTGAGCGCAGAAGAATTGAGGACTTTGAATTGTGGGGCTGGAGGAGACTCCTGCGAGTCCCTTGGACCACAAGGCGATCAAACCGGTCAGTCCTCGAGGAGATCAATCCTGACTGCTCTTTAGAAGGCCAGATACTAAAGATGAAACTCAAATTCTTTGGCCACCTAATGAGAAGGAAGGACTCCCTGGAGAAGAGTCTAATGCTGGGAACAATAGATGGCAAAAGAAGAAGGGGACGGCAGAGGACGAGGTGGCTGGATGGAGTCACTGAAGCAGTTGGGGTGAGCTTAAGTGGACTCCAGGGGGATGGTGGGGGACAGGAAGGCCTGGAGGGATGTTGTCCGTGGGGTTGCGATGGGTTGGACATGACTTCGCGACTATCAACAACAATCCCAGCAAAACAAATAGCTGCAGCTGCAGCCATTTCAGTGCTTCTAGTTGAACTTTGTGAGAGGGTGGGAGAGCACCTTTCATTGACATCAAACTTGGTGGAGAAATTAACCTTAATACTAGTATTTTGCTCTTTGTCAGCCCCCTAGTTTTAGACCACCCTTCCCCAATTGGCAGAGGATGATGGGAGTTATAGTGCAACACATTAGAAGAACACCAGGTTGAGAAGGACTACTGACACCATGATGTTACTTGCCTTCTTTCAGTTCGGGATACATGCAGTGTGCCTGGGTATATTTCGCTGGAAGCAAAACCATTCGATGTACTTTAAAATAGAAACACTTTTCTGTTGTGAGAACTTCAGCACCATCCCTACACAGCTGGTCATAAAAGTTATCTTTGCTCTGGAGAAAAAGAGTGGGTGGGGGAGAGGGACAACAACCTGTAGGAAGAAAAGGGGGAAGAAAGAAAATGCTTTGGGCTTGAGAGTCCCATTCTATTCTGATTCCAATCAGTCATCAATTTGAAACTCATCAGCCCCTCCCCCCCAGAAGTGATCTATTTATACCAGCAATAGAAGCAACTGTAGCAACTCAAGTCCATTTGTCTAAGAGCAACAATGTTGTTGTTGTTGTTAGTCACGAAATCGTGTCCGACCCATCGCGACTCCATGGACAACATTCCTCCAGGCCTGCCTGTCCTCCACCGTCGCCCGGAGTCCACCCAAGCTCACACCAACTGCTTCAGTGACTCCATCCAGCCACCTCATCCTCTGCCGTCCCCCTCTCCTTTTGCCCTCAATTGTTCCCAGCATTAGGCTCTTCTCCAGGGAGTCCTTCCTTCTCATTAGGTGGTCAAAGTATTTGAGTTTCATCTTCAGCATCTGGCCTTCTAAAGAGCAGTCAGGGTTGATCTCCTCTAGGACTGACCGGTTTGATCGCCTTGCGGTCCAAGGGACTCGCAGGAGTCTCCTCCAGCTCCACAATTCAAAGGCCTCAATCCTTTTGCGCTCAGCCTTCCTTATGGTCCAGCTTTCACAGCCATACATTGCAACTGGGAAAACCATAGCCTTGACTATACGCACTTTTGTCGGCAGGGTGATGTCTCTGCTTTTTAGTATGCTGTCTAGATTTGCCATAGCTTTTCTCCGCAGGAGCAAGCGTCTTTTAATTTCTTGGCTGCAGTCCCCGTCTGCGGTGATCTTGGAGCCCAGGAAAATAAAATCTGTCACTACCTCCATTTCTTCCCCAACTATTTGCTAGGAAGTGAGAGGACCTGATGCCATGATCTTAGTTTTCCTAATGTTGAGTTTCAAGCCAACTTTTGCGCTCTCCTCCTTTACCTGCATCAAGAGGCTCTTCAGTTCCTCTTCACTTTCTGCCATGAGAGTGGTATCATCTGCATACCTGAGATTGTTGCTATGTCTCCCAGCAATCTTAATTCCAACTGGTGATTCATCTAGCCCTGCCTTTCTCATGATGTGCTCTGCATATAAGTTAAATAGGCAGGGTGACAGTATACAGCCTTGCCAAACTCCTTTCTCAATTTTGAACCAATCAGTGGTTCTGTGTCCAGTTCTCACTGTTGCTTCTTGACCCGCATATAGGTTTCTCAAGAGACAAATAAGATGGTCTGGTACTCCCATCTCTTGCCACAATTTGTTGTGATCCACACAATCAAAGGCTTTAGCATAGTCAATGAAGCAGAAGTAGATGTTTTTCTGGAACTCCCTAGCTTTCTCCATGATCCAGCGTATGTTGGCAATTTGATCTCTAGTTCCTCTCCCCCTTCGAAATCCTGCCTGTACTTCTGGTATTTCTTGGTCCACATACTGCTGGAGCCTAGCTTGTAGGATTCTGAGCATAACTTTGCTAGCATGAGAAATGAGTGCAATAGTGTGGTAGTTTGAACATTCTTTGGCATTGCCTTTCTTTGGGATGGGAATGTAAACTGACCTTTTCCAATCCTGTGGCCACTGCTGAGTTTTCTAAATTTGCTGGCATATTGAGTGTAGCACTTTAACTGCATCGTCTTTTAGGATTTTGAATAGCTCAACTGGAATACTGTCACCTCCACTAGCTTTGTTGTTGCTCAGACTTCCTAAGGCCCATTTGACTTCACATTCCAGGATGTCTGGCTTGAGGTCAGTGACCACCTCATCGTGGTTATCAGGGATGTTAAGCTCTTTCTTATATAGTTCTTCTGTGTAATCTTGCCACCTCTTCTTAATCTGTTCTGCCTCTGTAAGGTCCCTGCCATTTTGGTCCTTTATCATGCCCATCTTTGCATGAAATGTTCCTTTCATATCTCCAATTTTCTTGAAGAGGTCTCTGGTCCCCTCTATTCTATTGTTTTCTTCTATTTCTTTGCACTGTTCATTTAAGAAGGCATTCTTATCTCTTCTAGCTGTTCTCTGGAATTCTGCATTCAATTGTTTGTATCTTTCTCTTTCGCTTCCCTTCTTTCCTCAGCTATTTGTAAAGCTTCCTCAGACAGCCATTTTGCTTTCTTGTATTTCTTTTTCTTTGGGATGGTTTTAGTTGCTGCCTCTTGTACAATGTTGTGAACCTCCGTCCATAGTTCTTCAGGCACTCTGTCTATCAGATCTAATTCCTTAAATCTATTTGTCGCCTCTACTGTATATTCATCAGGGATATGATTTAGGTTATACCTGAGTGGCCTAGGGCTTTTCCTTGCTTTCTTCAACTTAAGCCTAAATTTTGCAACCAGAAGCTCATGATTTGAGCCACAGTCAGCTCCTGGTCTAGTTTTTACTGACTGTATAGAGCTTCTCCATCTTTGGCTGCAGAGCACATAGTCAATCTGATTTCTGTGTTTACCTTCTGGTGATGTCCATGTGTAGAGTCGTCTCTTGGGTTGTTGGAAAAGAGTGTTTGCTATGACCATTGTATTCTCTTGACAAAATTCTACCAGCCTGTGCCCTGCTTCATTTTGAACTCCAAGGCCAAACTTGCCTGTTATTCCGGTTATCTTTTGGCTTCC